TTTTTTTTTGTTTGTTTGTTTTGTTTTTTTAATTTCTAGCTCAATGCCACTGTTTCCTATACTTGACACAGAAGATAAGAATTATTCCAAGGTTTGGAGAAAATCTCTTTCTGAAATGTAGCTACCTTGGTAGTCAAATATTATTATGAATAGGAACACTTCCAGGACACCTCTTAAAAACAAAATTATTTGAAGGAGCAGAAGTTCAGTAGGAACCATGTAATTTATAATAAGATTAGTTAGCTAACATTTGTACAGCTCTTTATGTGTCCTGTACAGGAAGCCCCAAGTGAGAAATATCTTTTAAAACAGTGGCCTGTGAAGTTCTGTACTGCTTGAGGAGAGAGTACACTTTTTCCCTCTAATGATAATAATTTAGTATATTAGTGATTATTTTTTCCTCTTTCCCTGCCTTGGCTACCAAAGCTCACTTGTGGCTTGACTAAGCAAGTATATAGGACCTTATGATCTGCTTATTCTTGATTCTCTTTATCCCTCTGGTTTTGACTTTCTGCTGTTAGTAATATTATTTATTGAATTTTAAAATTCTCTTAAAATATTTTACTATTATTTTATTCTATGGGTAAGCTGCCACAAATCCTTCATAAGATGAGATGGGTTTAACTAAATTAAGTTTCGTAGTTTTCATAAATATAATTTCACTTGATCGTTATACCAATCTGGAGAAGTAGACGTTATTATCAACCACATTTTACACATAGGGAAACTGAGACTCAAAGAGGTAAAACAACTGTTGGAGATTCAAATACAATGCAGTTTTCACTGGACCTAGTTGCCCTATCTCATGTCTCTAACAACAACAACAACAACAACAACAACAACAACAACAACAACTACTTTCTACTGGTTTAAGTATCTTCAGGTAGGAGTTATTACTGAATTAACAATGGTGTGAATGAGCTAAAATAAAATGTTTCAATTGTAAAAGGAAGGAGTTAGGCTCCTAGGTAATCTTCCTAATAATTATATGTGATTTCAAAATATTAGGCAGCTAGAGAAAGATGAAGAATTTGCTTTGATGCATTTTCTTATTCTATCTCTTTTAAAGAAAAAGATAGAAGAGAAAGATAGAATTTAGATAAAAGTCTTGCTTGAAGGTAGGAGGATGGATTAGTTGACCTATATGAGATGAAAATGCTTTTCAAAAATCAGCCACCATGGCACCTTACTAACTACTCATTACAGCCCATGAGTATAAGGAGATGGGCTTTATTCTCCCTTTTCAGGTCACCAAGCTGGCCCCAATCCCAGTGTGCTGGCACACCTGCTGTGCTCACTCCTGCAGTGAGGTGTGTTTCCTGGGCTACAGAGTCTGAGAAAACAGCACCAGCCTGGCCTTGAAACACATGTACAAAAAAAAATTGAAAGTACAATAAGCCAGGATCATCACCAACTTAATTTTCCAGGCCTTTTTATAGAGCACAGGATCCTTCCTTCTTTATGTCTATGTAAACCAGGAAAGTAGCAACATTTTGCCCAGGAGCACTAACCAGCTGTGCCTCACTGATGGCATTATAGAAAAAAAAAAATCACAAAATAAAAGAGATGGATCCTCTTTAAATCCAGGTATGATCATAACACGAGTCATTAAGCAACATCACTTATTTATATTATACTACTGTGTCTATCTGCTTACAATTTCAACAAAAGGTGCAACATTCCTAAACAATTGTTTTAAGTACTGAATTAGAAATGGCTAATGCAAAATTGCCAATGGCAGATTCTACTGCGATGTCAGGTTCAAGTTCAGAGTTTGGGGAATACATTTCCTGTACTTGAGGGAACAGCACATTATTTTGAACAAATTTCCCTAAGGATTTTCAGGTCTCTGCAGAGAATGTTGTGTGGTTAAGTTAGGAATGGATCACCTAGACAGTTTTGCTGTGCTTTTGCAAATTTTCAATGTTTCAATATTTCTATACACGTAGACCTGATTAATGAGAAGCTGTGCAGGAGAAACAGGTCCATTTGGGCATGTGTGCCCAACATGCATTGGACATGCACTGAATAAATTTCACTGAGATTACCTAGCTAGCAAGTCCCTGGGCAGAGGATTTGAACTCCAGGCTACCTCATTCCAAGAACCATGCTCTTGCTTCTATACTGTAGAGTTTCCAGCTTCTTGTTGCCACAGAGAGGGTGCAAGTGCATTCTAGTTCTAAGCATTCTAAAGGTTATACAAAGGTTATCGATACCCTGTATTCCCAGGTATTTTATAGCCATTGGATGTGTTTTATCAGTGGAGGCAGTGCCCTTTAGGTTGAGCCCCTTGGCCACATGCTGGACAAGCATGGAAGATTCCATGGAACAGAACATTTTATATTTCTATACTCTATGAATTGGCCTCTTTGACTTGCCTGGTGTGAGGTGGGCTCCTTCAGATCTTCATCCAGATCCACACCAACTCTGTTAAAGAAATGAGAAAACTGGTAAGAGCCTTGCTGCAGATGAGACGCAACAGTTTTGTGTGGCAGATCACTGGAACCAAATATGACACAGATCAAAGGAAAGGTTTGGCAGAAAACCATCCTACCTCTCCCTGAATCAAAAGAACCTCAAATGCATTCGTGTCAAAATAAGAACTTGTACAGCTGGGCCTCAGCACAGCTAGTGAGATTGAGCACCAACTCCTGTTCCTCACTGCTGTCTCTCAATAACAGTAGGAGCCTGAGAATGTCCACAGCCCTGAAAATAGAGATCCTGGAGGAAAGGCCACCTGCTATCCCTGCAGGACTCATTGACCAAACTGCTCCTGGAATGTGGGGGCTGGGTTGGAGCAGGCTCCTGGAGACAGAAAAGAACAGGCCTTTGTCCAGATGCTCACCAAAGCTGCCAGTAGAGAGGATTCAGGGTTCTGGGGCTTGAGGCTTAAACAATTTGACGTGGGGGCCTCTTTTTAAAAGAGCCTGTAATATGGTGTGTCTGGGTGGCTCAGTCAGTTGAGCGTCTGATTTCGGCTCAGGTCAAGATCTCATGGTTTGTGGGTTCGAGCCCCATGATGGGCTCTGTGCTGACAGCTTGGAGCCTAGAGCCTACTTTGGATTCTGTGTCTCCCCTTCTCTCTGCCCCTCCCCTGCACATGCTCTTTCTGTCTCTCAAAATAGATAAACAGTAAAAAAAGAAAAAAGAAAAAAAATTAATACAAAAATATGACCACAAAATTAGGTATGGAACTGACTTTTGGGAAAGAAAAAGTAAATTACAAAACGTTTCATGATTTAAAAATCTGGCAAATGCAACAGACGTTTCAAAATCCATAAAATAATTAATACTCGAATTAACTGCCTAACACACTTTTAAAATAACTTTTTCCTCTGTAAGTTTTGCCTCCATACTTTGATACTTTCTTTACATAGCAATGATTTTGTACAAGAGAGAAGAGGAAGATAAGGTAGCCTTTCCTCTAACAAGATCGATCGAAATTATTGATAATTGGGAGGCACTAAAGCATGCCTGCTTACAGACATGCCAGCTGTGTGCAGTGCTGCTACATATTAATGCCCTGAAAACACAAGATTTCTGGTAAATTTCATTTTGTGCAATTCCCATAAACAAAGCACAGTGGGCTTGTCAGTGTATACACTGCGTCATCGAATATATTCCTGAATTCTGTTTTGATGGGGACACCAATGAGAACGGAATCCTCCACTTGGAATTTTACACATCTCATGATCGGAAGAATTTTCCACAGACTAGCTTCAGGCTCAGGACATTTCAAGCCTTGTTTTTCTACAACTGCCCACAGACTTCTGAAGCCTGGCGCTGTAGGACATATTCAACTTTGATTCAGCCTTGTGGCACTATTCTTATAAGCCATTCCTGCACTGGGATGGCCAGCCATGACTTGCCCATGCACAGAAGTGACTGCAGACCACACAAACATATCCTACTAAATATAAACTAAATGCATTCCCAACTCAGCTTCCCCTGAGTCGGATCCCCCAAATGCCCACTCCAGGGCCAATAGACCAGAGGAGAGGTATGACTGAGGGGAAACTGTAGTGGAAAGAGTCATCAAACCCCACTGTGGTTAAAATATATTCCTTTTGCAAATCTTGCAAAAACATAGGACCATGGGAACACAATGCTGGGTTTCTTCCCAGGGCCTCGAAAGGGCCAGAGCAGTTGAGGGTCCTGGAGTTTGAACTTCCTCTGCTCCAGAGTGGGCCTCTGTCTGTCTGGAGGCAGGCTGGGAAGACTAGGGGAGGACTAGGGGGAGCAGCTCAGGGCCTCAGACATCCCACCCAAGCTCCACCAGCACCTGTCCTGTGAATGCCTCAATTCCTAGAGCTTTGGGGGTCTTCCCTTTAACACCTACCCCTGAAAACACTTCTTTAAGCCCCTTGCCATTCTGTTCTCCAGGTGGAGGAGGGGAAAGCAGGGTGAGGAGCCAGCAGCTGGCAGGTGTGCTGTCCAGTGAAAGGAAAGCAGCGCAGAGATAGCTTATTTAAAATACTTCTGATGCTTCAAAAAATCACTGTCCTCTGGCAATGAATAGCCTCTTCTTTCTAAACCAGGGAGTGAAATGGGTAGCTATTTATTGTATGTGGAACTGAGAAGAGCCTCTGGTAGGGACTAACCTTTGATTTTCTTAGAGTAGAAAGATCTCTTTTATCTATTTGAAGTCAGATGGAGAGAAGGAATGAGAAAAGAGGGAATGAGAAAGGAGGGAGGGAAAGGGGTCAGGGAGGAGAGACAAGCAGGGATGAGGAAAGAGGAGAGGGAGAGTCACCCTGTGGCCTAATGGGTAAGGCATTGGCTTCCCAAAGAAAGAAGGGAGGAAGGAGGCAGTGCACGGGGAGGGAGGCAGGGGGAGAGAAGTCCTGGGGAGGAGAGGAGCAGGAGAAGGGGCAAGGAGGGTGGAAGGCTAGGAGAGGTGAGAGACAGGGAGGAAATGAGGAAGGGGTAGGGAGAAAGAGTGAAGGGGGAGCTAGGGCTTGGCCTTCCAAGGTGGGTCCAGGCAGTGACGCTGTGGTGTAGATGGCCTGGGTCCAACCTCTGTGAACAGTGAGGGACAGGTGTGGAGACACCCTGGCCCCCTGCCTCATGATGCCGGGCCACATTCAAAGCTCTGATGGCTCTGAGCTCCCTGGCTGATGCTGAGGACCCCTAGGAGGCTTTATTTCTGGGTAAGCCTAGACCCCCCTTCTCCCTGTCCCCCTCCTCAATGGACTACCTGGCACCTATCTAGGCTATGAATTGAACTGGGGGTCCCAAAGTTCCCATTGCCGCATCTATTTAGGGCCTTTTTCTGGTTCCCTGTCTAGAAAACTCAAGAGGACAGAAATAAAATTTCACAAGAAACCCAATAATGTTTCTTGTTTGAGGCAGTACTAAGGTTTTCCACGAAAACTTAAGTTTTCCTTTCCAGCAGCAATCAAAGCAGACGTTTCTAGTTTCAATTATTCCAGCAGCCAGATGGAGCTGAGGAATGATGGCAGCAGATTAAGTTCTTTGGTTTTATGTGAGACTCAGTGAGAAGCATCTCAGAGGCCTGAGAAATGCTGTTCTACTGGGAGCAAGAACAATGCTTCCTCCCTCCTCCCATTTCATGGAAGGCCAAAGTCTGCTCCTGGGGCCAGGCCTGTGGCCCTTCTTGGCCTTGAGCAGACTAAACATCTCCTGTGGCTTGAGGAAAGAGAAACTCTATGTAAGTTCTTTCTTCCCTCTTGGGGCAGCTGTGGCCCTGTCCTCAGAGAGTGTGCAGTTTGGCAGGTTTAATTAGAAAAATCTAAAACATTTACTGTAATTTATGTATTATGAAGGGAAGTCACATAAGAACAGTATCTTCCTCTCTTGATTTTACCTCATTTGATAAAAACCCTGCTAAAATACATTACCTGGCTCCCTGCCTCCTTAAACAGAATGTGATGGGGATACTTGGATCTTTCCTGGAAGTCCCAGCACCACCACCGGCCCCATAAAGTGTAATACTCGCTGTGTTATAATGATTTCCAAGCACTATATGAACCTCTTTATGCCCACATTAAATGGTCTCTGGCTACTATTCTTTCTGTTTTAAAAATTCTTGTATCTGCCAGTTAGATTGCCTAGATTTCCTGCCTGCAACAATATATTAGCAGATGGTCTCTGTGCTCCCTTCTACCTTTTAATTTAGTACGGGACTGATTGCTTGATAGTCAAATTTAATACATTTTTTCAAGTTTACAACACACAGATATGCACACATACACAACAAAACAATAAAACTGAAATGTTATAGAAGCGATTACAGTAAAACACAGTTGTTCCCTGCCCCACTCTCTGCCCTACTTCCACAGACCAAGTCCCCATTGCCTCTGAGGGCAATTTTCTACCTTTTCTCTACTGAGATAAATATACTGATATCAGCACGTGTGGCACGTTCACACAGCATCCCCAGGGTTACGCAAACATGCCAGCTGCATCTGTGTCTCTTACTCTCTTGTTCAAGAGAGCAAGTCAGAGTGTGAAAGTGACATTCTGTTAGGGTTAACCTTGAATCCACTCACTTTTAGGTATAAAAGATCATTTACACACTATGGGTTTGAGAAACTAATAGAAAGAAGACACCATGGCACACAGCTTGTAGTGCTATGTGTGTTTATAGCAGCTCCCCAGGTGAGAGATCACAGGTGTATGGCACGTATCTTTCCTGTGGTATCAAGCCCCCTTTCTGTTCATCTGATCCAGATACAGTGCCCCAGGGTTGGTAACCGGACCTGTCTTTATTTCTGAGCATTACCCAAAATGGTCCCTGAGCTGTGGCCCCACCAGATCTGCCAGTGCGTCTCCCATCGATTGAATCCCCTCCCTCTAAACTCCAGCGTGGCAACCACTGGGTACCTGTCATGCACTACCTCCTTTCCTGAACGTTCCACTACAGTCCCTAATCTTCTGATCACCACCATGAACCATCCATCTTGTTGCCCTACCTTGTTTCAGATTCCCCATCACTGTCTGCTTTCATTGACTTGGACTGTAAGTAGCTTTGTACCTCCAACTCTGATCTCTGCTCGCAGACTGAACCCTTTCTGTAGCACCTGTGATCATCTTGCTCTGGCTACTGCAAACCTGGCCCACCTTGTGTTCACCTGTCTGGTTCTACCTGCCAGTGCTCTTCATGATATATCAGCCCTAGCTGGAATCCCAGGACTCACAACTACCCTGTGGTTGCTGAGCTGTCACTGAAGCCCAGCTATTAAGAGCCTCTCACTGCTGTGTGACCTGCATCACTCACTGTGCTCTGGTTTCCTCATTACAATGGGGATAATAACAGAACATGCTCCCCAGACTTCTGGTGAGGATTCAATGAGAAAATATTTATAAAAGTGGTTAGCTTAGGACCTGGTACCTTAGGACCTGGTACCTGGTACCTGCTCTCAAGAAATGTTAGCAGCTATTGTCCATGTTATTGTTTTTATTAT